TGAAAGAGATTTATGAAAGAGAAGACAAGAATACATTTTGAAACAATCCACCATCTTGAACATGCTTTTTCAATCACAAAACTACTAGATTTGACTTGAAGCTTTCAGATGAGATGAAAATCCATATGCTACACCAGCTACACTCACAACAGTGACAGAAGATGAGGAAAGAGAAGAAGGAGATGAAGACATTGGAAATGCAGGGTTTGTGCTTAAAATAAAGCATTTCTTACTCTACGTGCAACATCAATCTCCCCTTCTTTGTAATTTGCATTGGATTGGCATTATAGTTCTACAATGACATTCGATGTAATTATTATTTTTTTACAAATTAAAATTTTTTGATAGATAAATTTTTAATAATATAAATATAAATATAAATTTTATTTTATTTTTAAAATTTTTAAAATTTAAATTATATTTTTAAATATACTTTTTAATTTTATGGTATTATGTTAACATATTCTCTATCTATGGTGTTAAAGAATTACTCCCTCCATTTAAAAATATAAGACATTTTTTGAGAAGTCAAATGTTAAAAAATATAGAGCATTTTTAGTCTTTTGAGGTGTAATCATTGTCTTTTTCAAAAGTGCCCCTATTGATAGTGACTTTATATTTATTATAGGATGTTTAATAAAGGTAAATATAAAAAATAGGGTTACTTTAAAAGTAGGTAACAACTTTATTGAAGATAAAATTCAATTAAAAATGCCTTACATTTTTAAATAGAGGAAATAATTATTAGTTTTTATTTAATTTGGAGTGACAATGATGGTAAATGATAGACATTCTTTAACAAAGTTACTACATATATAAGAATTAAAATTTATTTTCAACTAATTGCTTGAAAGTTCTTGTTACTTATACCAACTTTAACTGGTTCTAAGATAATTTATCTAAAATAAAATGTTAATCATATTGTATATTTTAAAATAACTTGTGAGAAAATAAAACAAATTATCGTTTACATTTCTATATTATAATTACTAAGAAAACTTTTTATATGTACTAGGAATTAAAAAAAAGAGAGAGAGACATTTACACATATAGCCCATTTAATAAGATCATATAAAGATAACAGCCTAAAATTTCAAACATTTTGCAATGCAATCGGATTAATATTTAAGTTTAATTAAAATGATAAAAACATCCCTTCACCTCAAATTTTAAATCTCATTTTCAAAACTGAAATATATTATCCCACTAAGTTGACGGTGAAGTATTCAAATATTAAAACGATATATAATTGTAAATAGACCACGATTGTAATAGTTCAATTACAAGAGTTTTGCTCTATTGTTACACAAGATTTTATTTATTTATTTTGGAGATAAAAAGAAAAAATCACACCCTAATTGATTGTAAATAGCCTACATTCTAAAATTTTTAAAAACTTTTTCCATAATTTCTAGTTAATATATTTCTTATAATCATTAAACCAATTTACTCTAAAAAATATATATTTAACAGCCGTTGCTAAAGAAATTAAAACATATATAGTTACTTTTACTTATCATCTTTAAAAACAAAGATTAATAATATTCAACTTTCACCCTTTTCCCATCTATTTCCCTTTAAGAGAGTGGATTAATGCTCTCGTGTATAGTACAAGTCTAAGATCTAGTTTTAATATTATTATACTATTATAATATATTATATTGATTAATATATTAATGAAGGGAGAAGCAAAGTAAGCTCCAGGTGGGAACAGTCCGAACAAGGGGGAGATTAAAATATATTTATTTCTTGAGAAATGTAAAAGATTTTAATATTGAATTCATATCAATATTAGTAAATTCCATTTAATTGCAAAGAAAATCTTATAAAATGTTAATTATGCTTACACAAAATGAAGTGGCTGAAATGAAATCTTAAATATCATTCTTATAATTGTAAGATAATTAAAAAATAAATTTCTAAATAATTTATGGATTTTATTCGCCTTCAGATAAATATTTTTTTTAGATTTTAGATTTTTATTATTATGGATGAATTTATTTTATGGTATATGTACGTGTGTTATTTAAAAATATTAAATTAATTATAACAAGTTCGCAGCTTGATGATGTTACTAATTTGTAAACTAATATCTCATCTAGTTTAATGATCGATTCGATTTTTAAAGCTTAAAAAAATAGAGATAAACTTAAACAATGAAGATACCAGTATTCACATGCAAAATGTTTTAAAATTATGTATCCCTACTTAATGCAAGACTTATGTAATTACTCTTGTATATTCAATACACTTTTATCCCATCAAATCGAGATATGAAAATTTTAATTTGTTAATAATTTTAATAACAAGAATTTGTCATGAAATAAACAATTTATATTGTATCAAAATAAAATAAATAATTTATAAATGATATGCATATCTTGACTTAATTAAAAACAAGAACATTAAATATACAAGGTTAAGTATATAATTTTTTTTCTTTAATTAAAATCAAAGTAATAATGACAAACAAGGTCATAAATTAATATTGTTATACACATTATAAGGCTAAAGTTCATTTTCACTTATGAACTATTATTCGAGAAATACCTAATGTTTCAAACTCTTTGTTGTTATAATTTCGCTTATAAAATAATTAGATCATAGCATATTTGCCTTTAACATTAAATGCCCTGATTTTGAAAAATACAGATTGGAACGTAAATGTGATTGCAAATGCCACCGATCATGCCAAATTAATCCAAGTTAAGGTATAATTTTACTACATTTTAATTACTTAAGTAAAATTACTATGACGTAACTAGTTTAAGGTATTAAGTAATTTTTAGAGAATAATTCATGGACAAAAATATACTTTAATCCTCTACTAAATGTCTAACTCGTTTAAAAAAGAAAAACACTTTTGCTTTGACTATTTCAAGACAAGAAAAGAAGGGGAAATTGGGAAAACAATCTTTTTGAATGGTTGTAAATGAAATGAATGCAAGCACCACACAATTTTTTTTTTTATAAAGAGCATCACACATTAACAACTGTCCAACGCAAGTCATAACTTGTACCATAGCCCAGACCCTTTTCTTTTATGAGAACATTAAAGAAAATATTTGATCATATGCATGTCATATTCAAGAGTGTTGCATCCAAAAGGGTATCTCTGATTCGCTATGATTCCCCTAGACTTGCACAGTGCTCATGTATGTGCTCTTTGTGTGTGAATAACCACAAGAAAGACTTGATCTTCTTTGCAATTGGCCATCGCCGAAGAATCTTCCATATGCTATTTGCATTCCTCAATATACCTGTAATCGAAGAATTATATGCCAATTTAATGATAAAAAATCCATCAAAAGTAGGTTTTCATTAGTGTTTATTCTCTCCTTTCTCCTCATAGGGTGGGAAAATGCTAGCCAGCCAAGCTAGTATGTTAAGGTGAAACCACCACCCCAATCTATGATATCCTATTCTCTCCTCTAATTCATATAATCAGCCACCAATTCTTCCCTTACAATCATCCCTTCCATTCTTAGTATAAGTTCCATAAGAGGGACATTTAGTTTTGTTCAACTCTTAGAATACAATTCTACAAAGAAGTATTTCTGCCATTACATACTTTTTTTTACCAAACCTTCTCTAAACTTCTCCCATACTGAACAAATGTTTCACTAAGTTAGCGAAGAGTTCTTTCTTTTTGTAACAAGGCTTCCTTATTTTTCATCAATTGCCAATATAACTTCATAATGAAAGCTTCATTCTATTTTTCCAGTTCTTAATGCCTAAACTGCCTTCTTTTTTACCCTAAAGAATGGTTTTCTAAGACACCAGATGAATATTCCTGAGTTCTAAACATTTTCCCCATAGGAAGCTCCTACTGCTTCTTTCCATACCTTTTAGGAGTCTCTCGGGAAAGAGCATTATCTAAATGTAATAGATAGGGAGGGAAGATAAAATTGCTTTAATCATGATAGTTCTCGCCACCAAATTCAAGAAACTCCCTCTCTAAGTTGAAAGCCTAATCTAGTCTTTTACAAAATAGAGGCAAACAAAAGATAGGAAGCTCTATTATGCATAAGTGGCATCCCCAGATACTTGCCCAAATTAGAAGTCAGCCCTACTCCCATTCTTTTCCTAAGATTGTAAGCTATTGAAAAGTAAACCCCTTTCGAGAAGCACACTTTAATCTTTGCTTTACTCATATTTTTGTTGGCTTGAAGTATTACAGAATGCATTGGTACACTTCATCATAATATCCACTCGATTCAATGAAATTGTTAGCAAAAAATAGGTGAGAAATTCCAAGCCCTGAATGAGGTAGCTTAACAAGTCTTTCATCTTTTATAGCATCAAGAATAATATGGTTAAGTCTTTCCATGCATAGAGTAAGGATCTACAAGGAGATCGGATCACCTTGCCTCGTACATCTGGAAGGTTTGAAAGGCTTCATTGGACTACCGTTCCAAAGTGCTTGTAAAATCGGGCTATTGATATACCACATGAAGATCTCACATAATGTAAGGGGAAAACCCATTTTAGTGAGTGTATCTTTAATGAAGTTTCATTCTAATCTATCATAAGCTTTTTTAATATTCACTTTGACCACCATTAGCCCATTCACTATTATAAGAAATACTTTTTACATAGGTTAAAAAGGAACTGATATAAAAAGTATGAGTGGTGGCATTTTCATAAATAAAAAAACTTAATAGAACACTTTTTACACTGATTCACATATAATTGATGTAAAAAATACTTTCTACACCGATCTTGCTTAAAACTGATGTAAAACACTACTATAAAAAATGCACTTTACACTTATTAAAAAAACTAATGTAAAAAGTGAAGGTGGTAGTATTTTTATAAATAAATAAACTTATTATGAAATTTTTTATATCAATTCTATACATAACTAGTGTGAAAAGATCTTTCTACATTCAATGAGGGTTCACTTGGTGTAGGAAGTGCTTTTTTAAAAAAAGAAAAATTGTTAAAACATTTTTCCTACCCCAATTTCCCTAGACCTCTCGCACCCTCTCCCCGAAGACCCTCACGGCTCTAGCGTCTACCCTCACCCCCCCCCCCGGGTCTCTCTCCCTCCATTGCGTCTCTCTCCCTCTCTATGCTCACCGTCGTGTTTTCCGCACAGCCCACCGTCATCCAATCTCCCTTATCTGCTTGAAATCGATGTTTGAAGGCTGTAGTTCAAATGCCCGCTGTCGCACTGCTCTTCCACCACCTTGCTGTCACCGTCGAGGTCGTGCATTGTTATTTTTGCTCTTCTATGTCTTTTTCTTCTCGAAAAGATATGTGTGTGTGTAAACTGAGTTGTGTGTGTTTTATATGAAAAAATTTTTGGGATTGGCAGATGCCACCCACAAAGAGGGGTGTGGGCTGTGGTCGATGCGTCCTTCAGGAGCCTTTAGGAGCAAATACTCTTCTGGCTGACAAAGAGTTGAAAATTTCCGACAAAAGAAATAGATCTGTAATAAACTTTTTGCTGGTTGGATTTGCACAGGCTTTCCTTGAAATTGAAGGTCACATGATCGAGACTACCATGAAGTAAAAGCAGGTGAAATACTTTATGTGACTGTATTAGTAGGCTGTGCTGATTGAATTAATTTATTTATTTTTCAATCTGGTGTAGGATGTACAGATCTGTTTGAAACTTTATTAAGCCTGGCTGCAGCAACAATGAATTATTAAAAACCCTTTTCTATTTTCTTAGAAAAACTATAATTGCTTCTGTTTTTGTACGAATTATGGTACGCCAATTTCAATGACAACATTACTGGGACTTCTGTTACTTAGTGCTTGATATTTCTACTTGCTATAATTAAAATATTTATCACTTGAATTGACGATTGGGTTAGTGGGCCCTTAGCATTAAAGATTTTCTCTGTGTTTGAATGAGCTATGTGATCAATAGCTACCTTGCTTCAAGGTTTTGATGTTTTATTTGTTATTCCCGCGCTAAGTCTTTTATGTTCAAGGTTTTATAGTCTCCACATATTGCAACTCAGTTTTTATCCTTTGCTAATTTGTCTTATACTAAAGAATCATTTTTCTTTCACGTGAAGACTGATGACAACTTGTTTAGTGGGGTCTTTGAAAAATATATATATATATATATATTTGGATAAAAAAATTTTTTGGTGAGAATTGCCATCTTAGGGAATTAGAAGTCTAATTTTTGATTATACTATCTCTATGTGAATTGCAGGAGGCTTCCTTCTAGGTATGTTGTTCAGGACATGCCAAACGGCTACTTCAAGGTGAGTAGAATTTTCCAGTAAATTTTGATTTCGATCTTTTTTTTTTATTGCAATGATTTTGATCTTCTAAAGTTTGGGTGCTATTGAACCAGAATGTGTTTGCTACTGAGTTTGACACAAGAACGCCACTTCATTTGCCTACCTAGCTACATCTAAGATAGCTACTTGAAGTTCAAATATACAAGCTTTTAATGAATAAGTGATTGAATAAAAAGATAAAGTTAGCTAGTGGAACACTAAATTGAAAATATATATACTTATGAAAGGATCTCCTTACGAGTAGTTTTATTTTATGCATGATATATGACTAGTTTACCAAACCTGTATTTTCGTTTGTACACAGACTAATATGGTATCCTCCGTTGACGTCATATCAGACCAATATGGTCTACTTTAATGTAGAAATAATAATGAAATTAGTTGAAAGTTTTTATCCTTCAGAATTATGTGGCAAAGTGTAATTTTATTTTTAAATGTTCCAATTAATTTGTGAACTTTTTAAATGGTCTACTCTGTTCATGTCATACTGAGACTTATTCCGCTTTCAAAGGCTTGCATCTCAAAAGAATTTATTGTTTTTTCAAATTTCGTAATTCTTCACTAGGATAATATTATATTTTTGGTACTAATATGTACTTTGTTAAGCTCATTCCAAGTTATTATATTTTTTATTCATTACTCTAACTTGACACATAATTTGTTTTTTCCCCAATGCAGGCCAGATCAAGAGCTCAAGAAACTACTCTGGTTGTCACTAGGAATGGTTTTGTCTCTTTGTGAAAGCCATGTTACAGGATAGCTGATGTACAACATATTGTCGAGTTAAGGTTTTAGTACATTGTTTTAGTTTAAAATTTATTTTGTGGCTGCATGTCTCTCTCAAGGCATGTTAAATTTTATTTTATTTTTCTTTTTCCAATGACCATATGTATTAATCAAGTACTCCTAATGAAAAAAAGTTTCATTCTCCTATACATGCATTGTGATCATTTTATATTTCTTAGTATCATTTGACTGACTCACTTTGATGAATTGCTGAATCTACATTTGACTTATGTTTGATTTTATACCACCTGTTATTTCATATTTATAGTATTCTGGACTAGTTATTAAGCTGACTTGTAGTGATTTAATGATTTTCATGTTGAGTTTTAGTGTAATTTCAAGTTTTGTTTTAACAGATGAATATATATATATATATATATCTTGAAATAACTCTTTTTGTGTATATTATGAAATTTATTGTATTTTGAATATTATTAAAATTATATAGTAATGGTTATAATTTTTATTTATTTTGAGATCTATTAAAATACATGTAATGATAAAAGATGACATTTTTTGGATTGGATCTATTTAAATAACCTCTAATCCAAAAAATGCTCTTTTTTTTTTTAAATGACACTTTCTACACCGGTTGTAACTAGAACCAGTGTAAAAAGTGGACTGTATGCACTTCTTGTCTTTACAGCTAATGTAGATAGTCCCTTCTCTACACCGGTTATTGAATTGGTGTAGAAAGTTTACTTTTTACACCGGTCGCAAAACCAGTGTAAAAAGTTAGTATTTTTACACCCTCTCTTTCTACACTGGTTTTAGAACCAGTGTAAAATGTCATTTTTAGCCGGTGTAAAGAGTGTTTTTTATAGCAATGATTTCTTCTTTTTGTACCGTTTATATTATAAATATTTCCTAGCAATAATTATGTTATCCCCACTTTGCCTGCCAAAAATGAAACTACATCGGTGCTTACCCACTAAGGTCCTCATAAATAGTTTCAACCTTCTGCTTAAGATTTTTGAAAAAAATCTTGTAGCTAATGTTGCATAATTAAATCGATCTCAAATCCTTGATAGCCTTTGGAACTTCTATCTTAGGGATGAGAACAAAATGGGTGTCATTCATGGTTCCAATTTTCTTCGAATTAGTTCACAACTCTTTTACAAGATTGCAGATATAATCCCCTATAATATGCCAAAATTCGTAGTAGAAAAAAGATTGTAGTCCATCCTGTATCGGTGCCTTAAAAGCTCCAAGATTAAAGGCTGCCTCCTTAATTTCATTAGTTTTCACATCACCATGCAAAGACCTAAACATTTCATCACTCAACATGGGAAAGTGAATTTTTTAAGAGTTCAAAGATTTGTACTGAGGAATTACTCTCAGATAATCATTTGTAATAATTAACCACTTTAGTGTAGGCATGGGAAAATTTATTATTTTTATCTGCACATTTCAACTATTGGCTTTAGATTTTTGGTACCAAATCAATTCTTTCTAAGCAAGAACCTTATTGTATTTTCTTTATAATTCTTTCTCAGTTTGCGTGAGATATTGGTTGTCTTTTCTTCCCCAGGCCTTTTCAATTCTTTCAATTCTTCTGATCAGATTCTTTTTTAAACCAAAATTCCCCATTGTATTTCTGTTCCACTCACTGGCAACTTTAGTAAACTATGGCACTTTTTTAGCTCCAGCTTCCCGTTTTCCAAGACTTCTTTATGATATCCATGAAATCCTCCTCTAAGAGCCAAGCCCCTTGACATCTAAGGAAAGGTTGGATTTTCATTCTTGGGCTTTCTCTAGGACGTGGAGACATAAAGTAATCCATCATCACGTCTAAAATTAGCTAAATGATAGAGGCTTTCCCATTCAAAATTAATAAACACCCACTCAAATTTTTCTTTAAGAGTGTTTTTCTCCCATGTATATTCATCCCTAACGCAATTTACAACTTAAAGGTGGGATTTATCTATTCGATTAAGAAAAACTTGAAGGTGGGATTCACATTTGGTTGAGACCTACCAGTTTTATCCTCAATAGACAAATATGCATTAAAGTCTCCAATAATCAACCACATGTCATTAATATTACTACTTAAATTACAAATATCATCCCACAACGCCTTCCTTTTATACAGATTAGTCTTTGCATAAACATAAGTAATCCAAGCTTGTGCATTTTGACTTAAATAATGGAATTGAACATGGATGAATTGAGTAGAGGAACAATTATATTGAATGGCAATTTTATCTTTATTCTATAGCAACAAAATACCACCGTCATAACATGTTGATTCTACTCTTATCCAGTCACTAAAACCTAATTTATTAACAATCCTATTAGCTTTTCTCTCGCTGACTTAAGGCTCAGATAAAATAAGCATATCAACATCTCTTCCCCTTAACAAAAATCATGTATGCTTCTAGAGAAATTTTTTGAGGTGGCGCCTTGATAATTCCAGGAAATTATATTCATAAAAACAATCAAAGACCATAGGGAAGGGCACATATGATGACAACAAAACTCACAGGGAGATTCACTTTTCACCTCGTCTTCCTCTTCTACCTGACCATCATTAACCTCATCTTAGGTGTTAAACTAGTCTTTGTTTAAATCCCCTCCCTTCGTGGGTAGCTGTTGGAAATTAGAGATATTGGATGGGTCTGTTGGTTTTGGCGAGGGCATGAGTTCTTCAAAAATTCTCGTGGCTTCTAATTATACCCCTTATTTTGTATTTTCCTCTTCTCCATACAAACCTTGTGTGTTATTTTTTGAGCCATTCTTCTCATCCAAATTGTTTTTTTTTTTGTTGGATTGGGATCTGAATTACCTATTTTTCATAATGACCCAATCACTAAATGATAGGCTTTATTCTGCTTCTTTATCCTCATAAGTGGTGATCTAATTTTGGACCCTTTCCTTTCTTTTATTTTATTTAACTCCTTTCTTTTCTTTTGAATAAAGGTGCATTTTTTTTAAATATTTTTAAAGAGCACCTAACATCCTATCATTTTTGTTGGAGCAATTTTATTTTTAAAATTTTTAAAAAAGAACATTTTTTTTCTTTTTATCAAATTTTTTAATAATCAACACTTGATGCCAATATTAAAAATTTGATGAAAAGAAAAAAATGCTCCTTTTTAATAATTTTAAAGAAAAATTATTTTAATAAAAATATTAGGATACTATATGTTTTTTAGAAAATATTTTAAGAGTAAAAATATATTTTTATTTTTTTTTAAAGCAAATATTGGCCTCAGCCGCTCTTGCTCACTATCCTTATTATCCAAGCCCACGTGCGGAACTTCCTTTCTATTCTCTTTTACCTCATTTCGTCCTTTCTCTATGCTAAGACGCATCCTGATCCCCTCTTTTTATACCATTTTTCCAATTTCCTATACCTGCAAGTATCTGCTGATGTGATTGATATGCCCTGCTTTTGAATTTTTTTAGCTTTATCTTCCTTTATCCTCCATTCTCTAGCCATTTCCTCCCCTTATTACTTCTTTTCATTTGTCCTTTAACGCCTGTGTGTGTGTTTGGACAAGGGTTTTTTCCTCTCAAAATTAATTTTTTCAGTAAATTAATCAAACGATTAAAAAAAGATGAAAATCAATTCTGACTCCCATACGTGCGTTTTTCTGTAAGCTACTTTGGCCGACTTTTTGATAAAAGTTTATCAAAAATATTAAAAAAAATTATAAAGATAGGCTCAAGAAAAAATTACAAAGATGGCACATAATTAATAAAAATAAAATTAAATTATCTTCTTTTTTCTTAATAAAATTTAAACTTTGTATATTTAAAAATTAATATTTGATATTTAAAAATTAAATTATATAGCAATTTATATAGCTAAAAATTAATTTTGATTAAATTATCCAAATATCTTTAATTTTGTTAAAATTAATTTTAAAAAACAGTATCCAAACAGATTGCGTTATAACATAATTAATTATGATTAAAATCTACCACTTAATCAATTATTTTCATAATCTATTATACTCAACTGAAATCCAAACGGATCCTATCTCGTTTGTCAATACCTCAAACCTTTATTATAGGGCATTGAGTTCTCTCTCATGTTTTGCTTTCCATCCATTTAAGGTTTAGGAGATTGCTTGCCTTTTGTCTCTCGTTGAAGAGGCTTGGACTTAAACGTATTTTTAGCAATCATCCACGTGCTACATCTTTCTTCCAACACGACGCTAGGAGTACCCACCACTAGTTTTGCCCGATTTTTAGCTTGCTCTAATAACAAGACTGGTTCTCCAATGACTTGAGTTGATTCTGACTCTTTACTCTGATTCTGTATTAGGGGGAATTCCTCTTTTCTATGCCTATACTTTCCACGGTTAAAATAAATAATCTTTAAACCTTCATGCTCCACGTGATGAACTTTGTTCCTAATCACAAACAGAGACTTAATGGTTTGCTTAGATATATTTCAACACCCACTCTTGCCTATTTTTCCCTCTCAATTATGACATCTCTGTTCTTATAATGAGTAAGAGTATTCAGGCCCACTTTCAAGACTTTACCAACCATATTCCCCAATTCAAGCATAAACTCCTTAGTACTGGTAGAGTGGGGGCTCCCATTCAAATAGCTAACTTTCCTACACAATTATTATAAGGATTAAAATTAGTACTCCACCTTTAGGCTACCAAATTATGACCTTGGATAATCCAGGGCCCTTCAGATAATAGCTTTCAACATAGAGATAAGTCATATGGCCTGAGCCCAAGACAGTTATTTGGTAGGTCAATGAGTTCAAAGTTTTTTATCTTTGGCATCCATCCAACTCTATCCCTTATCATCTTGAGGATTATACTTTTACCTAAAAGAGTGATAATAATGGCATCCTTCTATGGGAGGCATAGTTTCTTTAGCATTTCATCAGGCATACTGATTATGGGTAAACTCTCCATTATCTCTTGGTATTTATTCAGAGTAGGCATAATCTCCTTCTCTTCTGGCATCTATTCTTTCCACAACTCCTTAAAATCCTTTGCACACTACTTCTCTATCTCCCCCATTAGCTTTTCCTTATAGGAGATTAGGCTTTTCCATGCTCCTTGAGTTTTCATCTCAAGATTTTTCTCTTTTTCAGACTTTCCCCTTCACTTGCTTCTTCCATTAGGCTATCATCTTCCTTCAGTTCTTGCCGATCTTGCATCATCTTTATGTTTTCCC